TTGAGGGGAGATCACTGCGTAAATATGGTCACATGACAGGTGCATTAATTTTCAAGCAAAATAATTCCCGAATGGTCAAAGATTTCCAATATTGTTTTATTCTTTATAGATATGCATGCTTATAGTAAGCGCCATGATTATTTACACAAGTGTTAAACAACAATTAGCGTCGTTACAAACCCTAATTTAGAATAATATGGTTTTCTTCAGGCCATTAACATATAAATTCACCGTGGCCAAGGGGTTTGCGCCCTAGCTTAGGAAGCGAGAGGTCTGGAGTTCAAATCCCAGTTAAGGCAACTCATTTTTTTTTCAAATTGTTTAAGTCAAATAAACATTATATTGAATATTACTGTTGCAATTAGTCTTATAGCCAATCTACTACAATTAAAATGCTGGAAAGCTTTGGTGGCACTATACAAAAACAAATTGTTTTTAAATCTCACAACCTTCACCTTTCTGACATTCTGAGACCCAAACAAATTCAGCGCCTTCTGTGCTTTGATTTTATATGGACATACCAGACATGTCCAAAATTACTTGTTGTTGACCTTGATCATGTGATGTCCTGTATCATGCTATGTTTATGTTTCAATTTTGGGGTCCACCCAAATCTAGGAAATCAATATAGAATCTACGGAAGCCAATAGCTACCACCATCTCAGATATGTTACTGTTGAAAGATTATAGCTGGAAGAATAATTATTACCAATAATGATGTGTTTATTTACTGTCAGAATATAGAAACATTTGTTACTTTGTCTTCATTCATGTCTCATGTAAAGTCTGTTTTTGAATGAATGAATAAATTCATTAAGATAATGTAAAATAATGGAAACATGACTTCCTCAGTTGAAATATCACCAATGTACCTCAATTCATCTTCCATGTGCCTCAGTTGATTTATCTCCCTTGTTCCTCATTTTGTTATCTCCCCTGTTTATCAGGGTATGTAAGGGAGATAAGAAATGCATTAAGACGGTTTGAGGGAAAGACCTGCACATTCTGTATCTATCTACCTGAAGATACAAGCTATTCTAGGCAACCACATCAAAAATATCATAGTGGCAAAAATAATCATTATCTGTGTTTATCATTGATACATAGATAAAAATGAAAGTGTTAACTTGGAGTATATATATTTCTACTGACTTGAAAGTCTCAGCATTATTTTTGTGATAATAATGAAATATAATTTTAAGTTACATCTTTAAAGAATGAAACTGTTTTCATCATCTTGGTGAAGTTTTAAAGCAAAGTTTTACATCAGTAGCCTAACATTTATCACCCCTACCTGCTGCTTTGCTTTTCTATGGAAATGATTTTATTTCCTGAAGAAGAGTATTTTTAATGTGCTCACTGTAGTTTGGGATTGTGTGTTCTTTGGAAAACTTGTTTTGATTTTATTGTTATATATGAAACAACAGATGGTGAAATTGTGAGCAATATATTACCAAGAGAAAATATTCTTAATGATGGAGTAATGTTAAAATTGCAGCTTATAATATCAGTGATGTATGGAAAATAGTGTGCTGGAATTTTAGTGTAATGATATCAAAATATATATATATATATATATATGTAGATGTATTCTAGGACGTTTTACAGATTCTAGTGTTGCAATATGCAATAAAAAGTCAGGAATGTATAAATGATATAATTTTGTCAGCAAGTATGAAAGCACTGCTCTATCTGATATGTGAGAATGAGTTGTTAATGTGAATCTTACTGGGAGAAATATGTCATAGCAGATATCTTGTAAAAAACATTCATGACAAAAATAAATTCTAAAAATTAGAATATTTCTGAGATTTGAAACTAGAAATTGTGATTTTTGTTTAAAAAGCATGAATGAAGGAAATTCCAAGAAAGATGGAATTTAATGAAATATAATGTAATAAAAGATCTGAAAAGTTTAGTAAATAATTTTCCAAATGAACTTCTGTGTAAGGATATCTAACAGTTGTTTGTGATTTTTATGGCAATGGAAATTGAAGATAGTGAATGTTTAGTTGTGGAAAATAAGTATGCTAGAAGAGTTAGTATGGAGGTAGGTCAGAAACAGAAAGTTGTTCTAAAAGGGTCGTACATAATCTTTATTATTGTGTCTTACTTTCCACTGGAGAATGTCTTTGTCACCTGTGTTGAGGTGTCTAATGAGAACTTTGACCAGGGGGCAGTGGGGGATGGATGGGCTGCCAGGCGTGAATGCCCTTAGCTTTGCAAGTTAAACTATAGATATGTGACACAATATGCATGCAGAAAATAATTATACTTTCTATGTATGTGACATAACTGTCCAGTATATATCTTAATGTCACATCTCCATGTGACATGATTATCATGGTTAAATGTTTCATACTAATATATCACAACCTAACTCTTACTATATATATATCAGGACTTAACTATATATATCAGGGTCTTAATATATATTTCAGGACTTAACTACTATTCTGTAATGCTAATGTAGATTTCACACCTATCCTGTAATTTAAAGTGACAAAAGATTTCTGACAAATATGATATTGAGACAAGCTGTTAATATATTTTCAGTCCTGTATTATGTTGTATTTATCTCCATCTATTAATAATATTTCTAAGTAAAACCTTTCATAATTGGCAGTAAAAAGTTGAGACTTGAATGTAATAAAATAGTTATTGTTATTTAATGATTTACATTTCTGTACTGGAATTATAGTAATGTTAACCATCTGGCAGCTCTTATATTATTTATTTGATTGGCAGACAGCCATACAGCCATCATTTGTTTACACTAACAAACAATAAGCTAGAAGCAACAGCTACAAACAGTAATAAAATACACATAATTCATCAAGTTTAGGTCATAATGTATTAAACATTTCCTTCCTTGAAATATTATTGACTAGATATTTGTAACTTGTATTTATTACATTATCTGGTTAGTAATGTCATTTAAACATACAGAGTAGCGGCAACATATAGTGATTTTCTCCGTTGTCGTCTGTCCGTTCACACTACTGATAGGGACTAGGGGCTATCTAACTGTAAACAGAACTCAAGAGAAAGTGGCCAGTGGCCCTCTATTAAACAAAAGAAAATAACAATAGAAATGGCCCTTTATTCCAATTCTGTTGCATATCATTCCGTCTGTCGTCACAAAACATATATATTTTGTGACATGGTCTATACTTAATTGACAATGTCAAATCATATAGTATTTTTGCTGTATCATCTTTATGTTTACCTCTTCTGTAAGGTATAAGATTAATGCCCTGCACTTCCTACTTTTCTCACCTTTTCCCCTCCCATTATGATTATGTATACATTTTTAGCTCACCAGAGCTGAAGGCTCACGGTGAGCTATTAGTATCAAAGGGGGATGCTCCGGCGTCCATCGTCCGTCCTCATGCTTCAACAATCGTCTTCTTCTCTCAAACTACTTAGCAGATTTTTTTCAAATTTGGTCTGTAGCATCCTTGTGACAGTCACACTTGAATTTGCTCATGTCAATCCAATTGGCCCCTTTTAGGGGTCTCTAGGACGAAAAATAGAAAAACCTTTAAACATCTTCTCCTACAGAACTAATTGATGGATAATCACCAAACTATGTCTGTAGCATTCTTGGGTAGTGTTTTATCAAGTTTGCTCATATTAATTTGATTGGCCCCTTTTAGGGGCGCTAAAGCTAAAAATAGAAATACTGTTAAATGTCAGTATTTCTAGAGAACTAATTGATGGATGATCACCAAACTTTGTCTGTAGCATTCTTGGCTAGTCTTTTATCAAGTTTGCTAATATTATTTTGATTGGCCCCATTTTAGGGGTCTCTAGGGCTAAAATAGAAAAAACCTTTAAACATCTTCTCCTACAGAACTAATTGATGGATGATCACCAAACTTTGTCTGTAGCATTCTAAGGTAGTCTTTTATCAAGTTTGCTAATATTATTTTGATTGGCCCCTTTTAGGGGTCTCTAGGACTAAAAATAGAAAAACCTTTAAACATCTTCTCCTACAGAACTAATTGATGGATGATCACCAAACTTTGTCGGTAGCATTCTCGGGTAGTGTTTTATCAAGTTGGCTGATATAAATATGATTGGCCCCTGTTAGAGGCCGCAAAAGCTAAAAATAGAAATACATTTAAATGTCTATTTCTACAGAACTAATGGATGTATGATCACCAAACTTTGTCTGACGCATTGTTGGGTAGTCTTTTATCAAGTTTGCTCATAGTATTTTGATTGGCCCCTTTTAGGGGCCACTAAAATTAAAAATAGATATACATTTTAACGTCTGTTGCTACAGAAATAATTGATGGATGATCACCAAACTTTGTCTGTAGCATTATTGGATAGTCTTTTATTAAGTTTGCTCATATTAATTTGATTAGTCCCTTTTAGGGGTCGATAAAATTAAAAATAGAAATACATTTAAACATCTTCTCCTACAGAACTAATTAATGGATGTTTACCAAACTTTGTTTGTAGCATTTTTGGGTAATCTTTTATCAAGTTTGCTCATATTAATTTGATTGGCCCCTTTTAGGGGCTGCAAAAGCTAAAAATAGAAAAACCTTTAAAAATCTTCTACTTCAGAACCAATTGATGGATGATCACCAAACTTTGTCTGTACCATTCTTGGGTACTCTTTTATCAAGTGTGCTTATATTAATTTGATTGGCCCCTTTTAGGGGCCACTAGAGCTAAAAATAGAAAAAACCTTCGAACATCATTTCCTACTGAAATAATTGATAGATGATCAACAAACTTTGTAGCATTCTTGGGTAGTCTTTTATCAAGTTTGCTCATATTAATTTGATTAGTCACTTTTAAGCTAAAGCTTAAATACCCCAGGTCATGGCATTTCTTCAAATTATTGTTTAAACATATTCTATGCTCAAATATTAGAATATATTGACATTCCAACACTGAAAAGCAGTTGTTTCTGGTGAGCAACTCCTCTTGTTAAATTAAGTAATAAAATATAGAAACTATGAAACATTTTCTATTTTCAGTGTGGTGTTGATGTCAATAAAGTGAATTCATATGACCAAACTGCCTTAGATATAGTGAACAAATTTACAACTAATCGTGCTGCCAAAGAAATTAAACAGATTTTAAAAGGTAAGAATACAAAATGCTCTTGTTCAAGGTGACAGTAAGACAGATAAAAGTCACAAGTTTGAGCCAGAAAATTTATATTTCCTAGCATGTTCATGATACATAATACAATGGTCAAATGTTTAACTCTATTAGATAATTATGCAGGTTAGATAATCCATGAGCTAGTATCAAGGTCTTTGTTAAAAGATTAAAAGTTTCAAAGTCTCCTCTATATCTTTTGAACTGCTTGCATCATTGTACTAGTTTTGTAATGTCCCCCATGGGTGTCATACATATAGTTTTTACTAGCTTGTATGTATGTCTGACCCCATTGTGATGATTTCTAGCTCAAGTTGAAATATGCATCACTTGGGATCCAAAACAGAAAATCCTTGAAACATTGGAGGCAGTATATACTTATTTGTTGTTGTCAAAAACTTTAATGTAGCCCACAATTCAAACATTTTAACATCAAACTTGGCAAACTTGTTTATCTTGACCAGGCACATTTGTTAGACAAGGGGGAATCACTCTGAAAGTAATATTTTTAGGACTTATGTCCCTTTTTATTTTAGGATGTCTATACAAATTGGTTATTGATAGACATTGTCCTGAACACCCCATATTATGCTCTTTTTTAATTTGTTCAAACATTAAAACATTATGTCCTGTGTTCCCTCTGTAAATTTTGAAGAGTTTAGTTTTATTTTGGAGGTCTGCTTAGGAAGAAAACATAATTGTGTCAAATTAAGATGACAAGCTGCAGTATGGCATGTTAGATTTATGCACAGTTTTACAATATAACTGCTATATTATCTTAGGTGTGGTGTATGATAATGTTATTTATGATCACATACAACATTTACCTTTGCATGTCTCAAATAGCCGAGTCATGTAGATCTTGGTAATCTTTATTTCTTATTTTATCAAAATACATTTAATTATAAGTTAAAGAAAGATGACAACTCTAGTATTAAATGTTAGATAATAACTTCAGAAACTGCATAATTACATTTCAGAATGGGGTAGAATGGGCTAGCTGAGATAAAAAACGTTCTTAGAATTTAAAACAAAAACAAAAGAATTGAATTGAAAAACGTGACAGATACATTTAAAATGAGATAGAGATTGGGGAAAGGGACGTAACTGTTATCTGTATGATACAAAATCATTTTCAACAAAACAATCAAGCTTTTATGATCTGACTGCGTCGTAGTTGAGTAAAAAACTTATATGTAGCCAATTTCAATTACAGGGAAGTACAATTTCATGTTATCACATTTTTATAGGTAGAAAATGGTGGTCTTATTTTTCCTGCAAAATCAATATATTTAACTAAATTGATACTGATATATTAAGTATATGAGTATAATCGTTCATATGGCAACAGTAATAAACTACTGTCTATGTCAGATTGGAAGATATTCAGTCTACATTAGATGGCTCCATACAGTCAATATCTCATTATTTAGTCTAGTGTCTGTACAACTGTGAGGCATTTCTCTACCAATAAATTGACTTATCTTAATGATGACAGAATTTAGAGTTTCTGTATAAAATCTACCTTCATGTTCTAGTTAAATATGTCAGTCATTTTATAGAAGTAACTGGAGGATTGTCTTACTCGCCCTGGTGTCCACGTCCAGATTTCAGATTAAAGTTTTTGTGCAGTAAAATAGTTTTTACTATAACTTTTTTATTTCTTATGATATCATCATCAACATGTGACATTAGGTTCATAACTCTTGAAGCAATATTTTCAGAGAATTATCTCCCTTTGAACTTATAATTTTTCATAAAGAATTATATTTTTTACTCTTACTTCTTTATTTAATAAGGGATTTGAACTATAGACTAACATTTACTTCTTGTCAAAATAGTAGAAACTTTTATGTGTGTGTATTTGCGTTTATTTATACTCGCCACCGGTTGCCCATATGGGCGAGTCCTCCAGAAGAGTATTAGTCATTTTAGATTTTTGGAGGATAGTGCAATTACAGATACAGAAAGATGCCCCAATTCCAAAAGCATCTCCTGGTTCTTTAGCGTGCCAAGTGTTTAAGCACCCATACACGGGACCTCGATTTAAAGTCTCATCCGAAAGACTGATTAGTAATTTTAGTTGGCCAGCCCGGGAATCGAACCCACAATGTCGAGATTACAAGTCTCGCGCTCTAACCGATTGAGCTATGTGGGCTGGCATTTGAAATTTCACTTTGTTATGCAATTGATACATTAAATGGAAAGTTTATTTTACAGTACATTAATAGTTTGCTACAAAAATGTTTATGTAATATGATATAAAATATGTTTATTGCTTTTGAAGTTATTATCCGTGAAATTATATTATAAATTATATAAGTATTTTATTACAGCTGTGGATAAAATATATACAGTGTTCAGATATATAGGTTATACATTTATAAAATGTTTTGTTGATATTCAAGGGAAAGAATACAAACAATTTAACTCAAAGGGAGATGATTCTGTGAAAATATTAAATATTATTTAATGAAGATCTGTGTGATAACAGAAGAAAGGCAACTCTCTCACAAAGCAGAGAAGAAACATGTATTATTTGTTTTGACTAGAAGTCCATTAAATCAGGTACCTTATTATCAATAAGTGAAGAATTTGAACTTGTTGAAATATATACACATATATATCAAGATCTTTCAAGGAGATAAAATTTCTATTTTTAGGTATAAATGAAATATTTTGTTCAAATATTTTTTCAATATTAATACGTGATTGAAGTAGGAGAAATTTTGTTGTATAGGTAATTGATTTTAAGATGATATCATGTAATTGATTTATAGTTGAAGGGGTATACTATTTGGTGTATGTTGGAGGAAAACATTTAATTTGTTTATTATAATTGATTGTATCGAATATTTTGACATATGAACTTCATTATTTTTGTAACAGTTAGAATATAAACTACATTAGGAAATATAACTGATTACACAATAATAATAGGACCATAGATTTATAACACTTTTCATAGAAATAAGTCAAGTACTGACTAAGAGTAATACAGTATTTACATGAATATAGACCAAAAGTCATAGATCTGACATATTATACTGGACCTAGGACCATCATATGATTTTAACATTAACATAGAGTATAAGTTATAGACCTAAAATTAACATGGACTTACAGGCACAAACAAAGACCTAGGACCATAGATTAGAACCTTACACATACAGGAAATAATAATGCTGACTCAAACTTATAGACCAAGCTTTCCATTTCATATAGTATTGTAAACATCTAAAAATTATGTCCCTTTTTAGCTCGACTATTCGCAGAATAATCATGTTACATGATTGGCACAAGTCCCATAACTCTGGTTTGCTTTTTTGCATAATTATGCCCCTTTTTCGACTTAGAAATTCTTGGTTAAGTTTTTGCGTGAAAGCTGATATCTCAATAACTACTGAAGGGAATGGATTGAAACTTCACACACTTGTTCTGTGTGATAATCTAACATGATTGGCACAAGTCCCATAACTCTGATTGCTTTTTTGGCATAATTATGCCCCTTTTTTGACTTAGAAATTCTTAGTTAAGTTTTTGCGTGCAAGCTGGTATCTCCATAACTACTGAAGGGAATGGATTGTAACTTCACACACTTGTTCTCTGTGTTTATCTAACATGATTGGCACAAGTCCCATAACTCTGATTTGCTTTTTTGGCATAATTATGCCCCTTTTTTTTGACTGAAATTCTTGGTTAAGATTTTGTGTGCAAGCTGGTATCACCATAACTACTGAAGGGAATGGATTGAAACTTCACACACTTGTTCTCTGTGAGTATCTAACATGATTGGCACAAGTTCCATAACTCTGATTTTCTTTTTTGCATAATTATGCCCCTTTTTTGACTTAGAAATTCTTGGTTAAGTTTTTGCGTGCACACTGGTATCTCCATAACTACTGAAGGGAATGGATTGAAACTTCACACACTTGTTCTCTGTGATCATCTAACATGATTGGCACAAGTCCCATAACTCTGATTTGCTTTTTTGCATAATTATGCCCCTTTTTCAACTTAGAAATTCTTGGTTAAGTTTTTGCATGCAAGCTGGTATCTCAATAACTACTGAAGGGAATGGATTGAAACTTCACACACTTGTTCTCTGTGATTATTTAAGATGATTGGCACAAGTCCCATTATTCTAATTTTTTTTCCATAATTATGCACCTTTTTAGTCTTAGAAATTCTTAGTTAAGTTTTTGCTTGTTTGCTGGTATCTCCATACCAACTGAAGGGTTTGTGCTTTTTTTTTGAACAATTTTATGCATTCATAATAATAAAGCAGTGATTCACTCGATAAAACATCTTAATAAAAAGCCTTTGTACTTTTTGGGACAATTTTATGTATTCATATAGGTAAGCATTATTATACTCAATGAAACACACTTGTGACAACTTTTCGAATAGTCGAGCGTTACTGTCCTCCGACAGTTCTTGTTCAATTTAGATTTTTTCTTACATAAGTAAAACTTCTATTTATGGTCCAATTTTCAAAAATTGTCAAAGGTATTCATTTCAAAATTGGTTCACTTACAGCAAAATACAATGGTAAAGATAAACCTAGAAAACAATAATATGATATAGAAAGTGCTCTAAAATGAATGAAACACCATGACTGTGTTGATGCCCCACAAAATAACTGAGTTGCCGGTTATACTTGTGTTTTATATATCGAGGTCATGACATGTGACATGGTGACAGTCAATGTACCAGCAGTAACTGTATTGAAAGTCAATTTGTGAGGCTTATACAAAATTATGGTGTGTCTGCAAATAGGTCTTGTATTATACTTACTTTGTCATCATTTTGAATGATAAGTTGCTGTAATATACACAATTCATTCAATCTTTTCATCTTTTTAAGAAAATTAGAAACTGCATGTAGTACCAAAGCTATTTTAAATAGTTAGTTATTGAATAGAATAAAAAGTTTTGACAAGCCTTCACGTAACTGATAAAAGAAACAGTGTACTAGATATATATGGGTAAGAGTTTGTATTAAGATATCCGTAATAGACTAAGATAAA